CATCGATCCTCCATTACGAAGGAGTTGAAGCTCTTGCTGCATCTCAGTGATAGAATTGTAAGCCGGTGGTGAGGCCTTCCATCCAACGCTCGAGACGCGCCTGTGCGTCCCGCAAGATGTCCCAGCTACGATCGCCCTCATGGGCTGAAGTTCTGTCGCTGTGTGCCATAGTTGGATCTGATATCGAACTGGTGTAAAACCTGATGAATCAAAACCAAAAAACAAGAACAAAGCAGGCAAACCACGGAAAAAATATTACATCAGTGCGTAGCCAATGAAATCACGTCACGATACCTCACGCGACAGAGAAAAAAAAAGCGCAGTAACACGAGGAATATTCCTCCCTGTGTTATTACATGTTATTCATGTGTTATTGCATGTTATTCATGTGTTATTGATGTGTTATTGTGTTATTATAACACCAAGAATATTCTCAGGACACACTAACATATAAATAACACACAATAACACATGAATAACACGGGGAATATTCCCGACAGAGAAAAAAGCGATGCAGTAATATTCCCGACAGAGAATATTCTCTGTGTTATTACATGTTATTCATGTTATTCATGTGTTATTGCATGTTATTCATGTGTTATTGATGTGTTATTGTGTTATTATAACACCAAGAATATTCTCAGGACACACTAACATATAAATAACACACAATAACACATGAATAACACGGGGAATATTCCCGACAGAGAAAAAAGCGATGCAGTAATACGGTGGAATATTCTCCCCCGTGTTATTCATGTGTTATTGTGTGTTATTCATGTGTTATTGATGTGTTATTATGTTATTTGTTATTATAATACCATAAATATTCTCATGACACAATGACACATGAATAACACACAATAACATATGAATAACACGGGGGAGGGGGGAATATTCTCCTTGTTACTGTGTCGTTTTTTTCTCTCTGTCACGCGGGATGTCGTGGCGTGATTTCATTGACTACGGACGTTACTCTACGTGCGTAATACTGATGTAATATATTTTCAACAAACCAGAGAAAGGAAACCCAAAATATGCTATAATTTCCGTAAAAGCAAAAAAGGTGCATCATCTCCTTTACCTCCAGTCTCCATAGCAGGAAAGAGGAGGAGAAACTAACCAACAAATGGGGAGTACACTCCTAATAAGCGTCAGACGTTACTCTACGTGCGTAGTAATATTTTCAGCAAACCAGAGAAAGAAAACCCAAAATATGCTATAATTTCCATAAAAGCAAAAAAGGCACATCATCTCCTTTACCTCCAGTCTCCATAGCAGGAAAGAGGAGGAGAAACAAACCAACAAATGGGGAGTACACTCCTAATAAGCGTCTAACTAAGCATTACATTAACATAACTAATATGGTCATTAAAACAAATATCTATGGTAGTTAAAAAAAATAATTTCATGTAATGCTATATATATAGATATATGACTAGTTGATGATAGTGTCAAATACACCAGGTTCTCAGCATGTTGCATCAATTTACTTAAGCATTGATGTGCAAATCAATAGAATAACAATGGCTCATTGTTGTTGTTGTTTTATTATTATTTTTTTATTTTTTTGTGAAAAGATGATGGCCTTGCTTAGGAAGTGTTAGATATTATAGTTTTATATTTCTATTATTTTACCCTAGCCATTTTTCTTTATTATTTTTTTATTTTTTGTGAAAAGATGATGGCCTTGCTTAGCAAGTGTTAGATATTATAGCTTTATATTTCTATTATTTTACCCTAGCCATTTTTCCATTGTCTCTTCTCTTTCCCTTCTCCTTCTCTATTTCAATTGCAATTCTTAACATGATATCAGAGCAAGTTCTGATCCATTCATAGCTTTCGTGGATCAAAGACCCGAAAAGAAAATTAAATTTTCAGGGATTTATTTGTAGCTTTTGGGTTATTTTGCAGTCGTCAGCGATAGACCCAATATTCGGCGTCATTTGCAGTCTCTAGCAATAGACCCAATTGCAGTTTTTTGGGTGATCTATTGTTATTGATATTTGATTTTCCTTTCCTTTGTTTTTTTTTTGTATTGATAATAGTAGTAATGACTGGTGGATTTATTTGTAGCTTTTGGGTTATTTTGCAGTCTTCAGCGATAGACCCAATTTTCGGTGTCATTTGCAGTCTCCAGCAATAGACCCAATTGCAGTTTTCTGGGTGATCTATTGTTATTGATATTTGATCTTCCTTTCCTTTGTTTTTTTTTGTATTGATAATAGTAGTAATGACTGGTGAAAAAGATGATTATCTTCAGTCTATTAGCGTGCAATTAAATTGGAAAAATTACTTATGTTAGAGTTATCAAAGGCAAAAAAATGTGAAGTTATGTTTATGGAACCTCTGTTAAGCCCATCGATGAAAAAAATGGAAAATATGAAGAAATTTTGGAAGTATGAAAAGCAAACAATTAAAAAATAATCACTTGGATCAATAGCTCGGTTTCACAATCAATCAGTGTCTAATTAGCAAAATATGAAACTGCCAAAAAATTTTGGAATCATTTGGAAAGATTATATGTGCAGTCAAATTTTGCAAAGTAATTTCAATTAGAGATAGATATTCCTGCTTTTCAACTTAACAACATGAGCATCCAAGAATTTTATTTTGGCATGACTAACCTTTGGGATCAGATATCTCTTACTGAATTTGCAAATTTACGAGCTTTTAAATCATACACTGATTGTAGAGAAGAATAACGTTTGGTTCAGTTTTTAATGACTCTTTGAGATAATTTTGAAGGGCTTCGTGGAAATAGTTTACACCGCAATCCTCTTCCAACAGCCGACTCAGTGGTTAATGAGTTATTAGCTGAAGAGATTTGTCTCAAGTCTCACTAATCAATCTATTTTTGCAGCTACTCATAATAAAATCAAATCTCCTCGAAACAACATGATATTATAAGAAAAAAAATAAAACAAAAATAAATAAGGGTTTAAAAAATAAGAGAAAATGAAAAAGAACCTAAAAGCAATGATGTGGCTGAGCTCGGGATTTTGAATCGATGATTGATATTATCTCCTCTATTGTCTGTTCATATAGTCTTTATTTTTTGATTAAATTGAAGTTCAACTTCTTGTTTGAAATTTGAAAATTGAGTAATGATTTCATAGTTGTACCATTGGATAGATCCAAGTATATCCAGTAAAATCATCCATGAATAACACATAATATGTGTTGCATGGGGAGTTGATGTCTGTGGAATTATGGAGTTCTTGGGTTGAAAGTTGATGTTTAATCTATGCCAACACTTAGAAGCAATCTGTCCCATATTGTAATAGATATGACAAATAACAAATTCCAAATCTTTTGATTGATTGTTCGGACGATCTTGATTTCTTTTAGACTGAGTATTGTAGCTGTTACCTTTGCCTTTATGGTGTTTGTTCTTCATAACAATAACAATTAAGCTACAAGTCGAAACATAACAATAAAGATAATCTTTATTACCCCAGAATGTAACGATGCTGCAACTTGTATGGAAAAAGAAATGCTAACACACGGTACACCTCACACTTGCAGAGCAAGTAAGACAGTGCACCCCATGCATTATGTTGTATCTTTAGCACTACTAAGCACCTGTCACCGCCAACTTTAAAGGCTTGATTTACATTTACTTTGTTTTTATTCTGACAAAATAATAAAGTATGAATTAGTATGTTTATTTAGCAAATTTTAAAAGATTTCAAGTGGAATATATTAGTTGAACACTGCATTTTGGGCTCTTACCATTGTCACTATTGGCCGCTTACTACCCACTGCTAGCCTTGAACGCACTGCATGCTTGGATGGCCATTGGCCACCCATCAAAGTCACAATTTTAGGTTCTATTTGTTTTGGCTTTTCGAGCCACGCATTGCAAACGAACCATGATTGAATCGTTTGAATGCAGGTTCAGGCTAGAACTTATGATTGTGTTTATAGAACTGATATGTCAAAGATTTGTTTTTGAAATCCTTCATAGCTTTTGAAGTCATAGTTTCGACCCTGACACCGTTGTTTGCCATTTATCGTTCTTAGCTTATTGTGATGTAAAATGGAAGTTGCATAAAGCAATGTAGTCATTTTTTTTTTTTTGGCACTTCTGCTACAACTGCCACAGCCTGCTTGTAGGGCTGTAAACGAGTCGAGTTGAGCGAGCTCAGGCTTGGCTCGTGTTCGGCTCGTTCGAAATAACTTGTGTTTGAAATCGGCTCGTGAACAGTGTGTTCGTGTTCGGCTTAAAATTGGCTCGTTAAACTAAAATTGATAAAAATAGATGTAAAGTGTGGGATTCAAACCTCGATCAAATCTATAAAAAAAAAGACACTAACCACATTGCCACATAAGGTGTTATGATTTAGACTTAGACATAAATATATATAATATATTATTATATAAATAATATATGTAATATATTGTTATATAAAAAGTTATATATATTTTTTTCGAGTCATTTCGAGCCGAACACGAGCGAACAAACTATTGTTCGTGTTGGGCTCGTTTCCATTTCGAACTTAAAAATTTGTTCGTGTTCGGCTTGTCCGTTAAGTGCTACTAGCCACCAAGTCGCCGCCACCTTTAAAGGATTTACTTTACATTGAATTTATTTTTATTCAAATAAATAAATAAATATGAATTTGTGTGCTTATTTAGCCAAAATATTCTAAAAGATTTCAAATAAAATATATTATTTGAACACTGCCTTCCTTTTAGAGCCCAAATAATTTTATCCTCCATCACCAAGGCACCTCCCTCAATCCATGGAAAAAACGCAGAGCACGTTCCCGGTTCCATTAATATTCAAAACTGCATCAACCAATGGCGTAATTGCACTTCAAATTGATCTGATACTTAGCACTCATGAACTACTAAGGCCCCGTTTGGGACAGCTTAAATGTGCGGCGGCGTTTTTGAAAACGCCGCCGCAGCGTTTGGAAATCACGTTTCCCATGCGTTTTTTAGAACGGCTTTTTGAATTTGTGTTAAACGCGGATCGCGGGTATATCCGAAAGAGATCAGAGGAATGGGGCGAGCAAAGCTGGAGATGAAGTACCGAAACAACTCCAGAGCCCGCCGCGCAACTTACATAACCAGAGTGACAGGATTGAAGAAGAAGGCCTCCGAACTCTCCCTCCTCTGCGGCGTCGACGTGCTTGTTGCCTCCTTCTCGCCGGAACTCAACGCCGTCCAATCCTGGCCGGAGCAAGACTCCGACGAATTTCGCTGGATAAAAGAGCGGTATGTCCAATTTCGTAGATCTGAGATGGCTACCCCTTTTCCTTCTCCTTCTCTTCCGCTGGCTTCCCAAGAAATGCTGGCCATGAGTTCTAAACTGACAGAGATTAGAGAGAGGTTACGCTTCCTCCAAGGAGAAGCCTCCTCCAATGCAGCCACGGCTTCTTCCCATTTCCAGCAAGATCAGACGGCGCTGCAGGTACAGGACACCATTCCTCTAAGTCCTTTTCCTACCCATATCTCCATGGAGGATGCACCGGAATTCTTCCTCTCTGATTCGCCTATGAGGAGCTCCACGGACGATTTCGCTTGGTGCGACAGTCTTCTCGATTATGAGAAGTGGTGATTCGAACAAAAGGATGCCATCAAAGTTTTGAATCTTTCCAGGGAATTTTTTTTTTTCTGTCATTTACGGTTTATTAGTTTTTTCTGTTGTATATATACGAATCTCTTATATTTGGCAAGCTATCATAAACTTTGAACTGAACAATCTTGTCTTCTGCTTTCTGCTATGTACTGAATACAGTTTGCTAATATGGAAAATAAGCATTCGGTCCTTCCCTAGCTATTGCATTGAACAAAGGGGCATTTCCATACATACCACCCAAATCCTTTGTATTTAGGTATCTAACACATATACTCTCCTTTTTTACTTTTAAACCTCCCAAATCATTCATATCACATAAAAAAATATGATTTTTTTCTGCTTTTAAAATGTTAAATGCAATGTTCATGCGTAGGTGAGGTGGCATATATGCAAAAAAAATAAATTTTAGGTGTTTGCAGATGTGTAAATACAAAGGAGTTTTGTGACATGTATATAAAACTTACTTGAACAAACTAATTAACAAATCATTTATTGCTTATTATGCCAAGTCCTTGTGAGGAATAACCAATCGCAAACTAGCATGAATCCTAATAAAAAGCAAATAACTCTCTTTAATATTTGTGATGCATGGAAGAATGTATTACGTTTATATCTATCCCACATGCAGTAGAATGTTTGATCTGCTAATCATCTTAGATTTGTAACTTCTACTATTAAAAACTCTTTGTTGAAAAAAACTCGAAAAGATTGCGCGAAATGCAAAATGCTTTTTGGTTGAATAAGAAGAAAGCAGACTTTTTGATTAATTTTGGTAGATCAATGCATTCCATGCCAAACATTCCATTATTTCATTTTAAGTCAAGAAAAATTTTTGCTATCATTCATTAATATAAGCTAAGATGCTTCTAATCAGTTTCATAGATAATTAAGACATACCACATATCCATAATATACATTGTAAACTATTAATCATTCCATTTGTTTAATAGACTTAAATCTGTAAATCAAAATATTTAAATGAAGGCAAAATCTGATCACCTTACTGCAATCCAATCTCTTCCTTTCTTTATCAGAAGCAAGAGCTAGAAACTAGAGTATTGTCGGGTGAACCTTAAAGCTTGGTGAGATAAAAATGTTGAAAACAAAGTTCAAAATATAAGAAAAAGGAATAATATATCTCATGCTAGTTTTTTTTTTTTTAACTGACAAAAATATCAATAATCATAGATATAGCTAGTTTGATGCACAAAACATGAATTGACAAAGAGCATAGTTGACGATTGAAAAAATAACTTAACAGATTAATAAACAATGAGCATGATTGTTTGTAAGGAATGAAATTATAACTATCGTGGGCACGATCATTCAATATACTCGCAAACTAGATTCCAAAAACAACTATTGCTTACATAATTCTTTCTCATTTTTACTTGTCATAGTCTTAGAAATGTCATATAATAGTCATGCATGTTTAGGCATATTTATAGATAATTGTCACCTAGTTCATTATCCTAGAATAGTAGTCCATGAAAGACTTGCTTCAATAAAGCAATTATCAAAGAATCCCTCGATAACACTTGATAACACTTGCATATCTATGGAAAGCCAATAAACTCATTTATCCATAAACATTGCCCATCTTATTGGTTCTTATGTCATTTCGTATGTAAGTCATCATAATTTATTAAACTTTTCCCTATGGCTTGACCTATCATATATTTTCTCGTTAGCATCAGTATCTTAAGTGCTAAACATACTTATCTTGTTATGCATATATTATTACTAATCTTTTTCAACTATATATAAGGCATAATACTTGCACAATATGAAAATAACATAAAATTATTTTTTAAAAAAAGAAAATGTGTAATGTATTTAACATATTAATAAAATTTGATACCATTTACATACTCACTATGAAGAAATAACTATTATCACAAATACACAAGTCTAATTTCATTATAGAGAATTAATAAATATTTGACTTAAATATACTTTGTCATTTATATTTGAGATGAGTATCTCATAACAAATATTAGATAATTCTTATAATAGGATTCCATGCACTCATCAGCCTGAATTCTTGGTATCTTCTGCACGAATCTAAAAATAAATATCAATTTTCTCATTTTGAAGATATTTTTTAATTCAACTATAATATGATTCCAAATAACCTCAAAAATACCAATTTACTTAAAAAAACGGAGTTTTACTCATCATAAAATCTTCAGACCTACTAAACCTGAATCTAACTCAATTTACTCATGAAAATACAAGAAAATTAAATTTAACCCGAATCAAGTTTAGTTGTTACATATGTGTTGAAATCCATTTTTCTTATCACATGTGTAGAATGTTCACTTAAATGTTGTGGGACCATATTGCACTCATGCATAGTTTCCAATAACTCAAGACATCCACGAGAACTCCCCGACGAGCGTTTATATCACAAAACTAGGGTTTGAACCGATGCATCCACGTTATAGAATGACACAGTCATTAGCATCAATTCTTGATGTATCACATGTGGTAAATCCACTTGAATTCTATGAGACTGTATTCCATTGATACATAGCTTCTTATAGCTCAGGACATTCTTAAAAACCTTGAACAGATGTTTTAGGCGTAAAATTATGATTTGGACTGGTGTGGTCGAGCTCATAAATGGTTACACTTTGTTGGCATTATTTATTTGAAATGGCACATGTTTGATGCTCATTTTAATGTTTGAGAACCTCATAGATAGCCTCCCATGGTCAAAGGATCCATAAAAAACTTGCGCACAAACTTAGCACAAAAGAGGAAAAAAATTTTCGTGCAAACTTTGCACAAAAGAGGGCTTAAAAAAGTAAATAAAATAAAAAAAAAAAAACCTAAGAGCCCCAAAATGTAAATTATGAAAAGAGAAAGAACTCAATAATCTAGCCAAGCTATCAATAACCACCAACATCCTCACCAAAGTGAGTGTAAGCAAAAATATTACTAAATTATTATTATCATTCCAAATAATACAAAACTAAGTTGACAAGAATGTTGTGTAAGCAAAAAAAAACTTACAACCAATTAATGAAACCATTTGAAAAAAAAAGGTAAGAAATAGATAACTAAAAGAAAAAAAGGCTTAACTATCCCCAATTAATTTATTCTATTTAAATTTTACGAGTTTAATTATTGTAGACTTTTTATGATTTAGAGGACTCAGTTATTAGAAAATTCATTTTAACCCTGAATTAATCAATATTTACATTTCTGATGAAGGTCTTATCGAATCTAGGTCTTATCGAATCTAGTTAATTTACGTGGTTTCCCATCATTAGTCAATATTCTAAACTACAGAAGGTCTTATCGAATCTAGTTAATTTATATGGTTTCCCATCATTAGTCAATATTCTAAACTACAGTCAACGTCTTAGCAGGCAATCGTACCTGTATAACTACCTCTCCCAAACTTATTTTCTATCATATACATGTCATATGATAAAATACAAGAATGAAAAGAAATGAGTTTTCAACAAAGAAGGTAATATATAATATATATATATATATATAATATATTGCAACACGACGTGCCAAAACTTAGCACAGGGTAAATCCGACATCGGATTATCGCGACATTAGCGTCGGATTTAACCCGTTTGTTTTGACTAGACAATAGTTAGAGGACGTAGCTTCACAAAACATTTTAACATCTTAGTTGGTCAGACCATGATAATAATGTTCAAATGTTAACAAACAACAAGATCATGAAAGCACAAGAAAATGCTAACAAAAAAAATATTGCGAAAAAAGTCACTATTAAATCCACTACCCCTACATCATAGAAGCACAAACAATGAAATTAGCCACACATCGTCAAGAAAACCCTAGCAAGGAAAACTATGCATAGATTGCAAGGAACAAATACATGAAAGACTTATAAGAATTTATTATCTGCACAGGTGCAGCACTCCTTCCTCTCATACAAGTCTCTCAAAGCTCACAAAATACATGAAACTCTCATTTTACAAGGTTTCTCCAAAGGAGGAAGAAGGCCTTGAGGAAAACTAACAAAATTCTCTCTAAACCTTACCCTAGCCGCCTCCAATCACACTTGAATGCAGAACCCCCTTCATGAAGCCCTAAATATTTATTTTATAATAGGAATCACGACTTAGGGCATTAAATTTCCTTTCTAAAGTGTTTTATCGCTCATTGGTGTGGTCACACCACAAAATTGCAAGGGTGGCATGGTCATGCTCGAAGGTGACATGGTCACACTGCTAGTCTACCCAATATGGTGTGGTCACGCCAAATACGGTGTGGTTATGCTGCATTACTTTGATACTAGGCGTGGTCACGCCACTTTCAAGTGTGGCATGCAGTTTCGGGGTATCTTTTTGCTTGAGTTTTTCGTTTCAAATTGCTCGTATTCAACTCCTGCAACCTACACAACATTAACAGAAAACCTTTCTTAAGCATAAATCTGTAATAAATATGTCTAAATAACATGTAAAATGTAGGGAGAAAAGCAGGTAAAATCACGTAAAATTGATGTATGTCAGTACCCCCAAAATTATTCTATTACTTGCCCTCAAGTAATCACATGACTCAGTTAGATATTATGACTTGAATAGGCATTCTCGTAGGATCCTAATCATTCAAAATGTTTATCAGAGCTATAATGAGTGTTAAATTTCAATAAAGGGTCAATTAGCTTTACTAGTTAATAACTTGACTTCTATGCAATTCCCTTCATTTTATCCTTAAGAAAACTTCATAGATCCTTAAATTTGATTTAATTTAAGTCTTTTTCACTCACCTTGAATGCCTGTTAATACAGTTTCAATAAATCTTAGCTAACTTAACACTCTCTTGACTCTTTCCAGATAACTTTTAATGTGGTTTTTCCTTAAAGGATCACGACCAAGCTTTATCACTTAAGTCCCACTATTCATCCTTTTAATTTTTTTCTTTTCTTGAATTTTTATTATGTCAAACTCAAGCTTCTCCACAGAGAATTTTCTTTTCTTCTACTTTTTTATTTTTTTATTTTCCTTCTTTCTTCCTCTTTTCTTTTTCTTTTTCTCTTTCTCCTGAGAATTACTATATCTAGTGACATTATTTTTTCTTTCTTTTTCTAGTTTTAAATGTGAACGAAGCTAATGTTTCTCAAGAGATAAAAACTAAACACTTGATATTTTAATACTTCACCTCCAAGTTATCATTTTTAGTTAAGACTTAAAGTCATATTGATTTTGTTAAAATTGACTGAAAATGATTATCAACATTCTTGGTTTGCTACTTAACACTTAAATTACATATTTTTAATAATCTACGGGTTCTTTTAAGTAAAGTTGAGGTTATTAAGGTTTCATCTCATTATTAACTTAATAAAATTAGTTTTTCTTTGATGTCATGTATCTTCTTTTAATAGATTATGATAAGCAATTTGAATTAATCAGCGTGCCTAATAGCCCAATGTAAATTTAATTTTTTTACCGAGCTATGTTAATTACCCTTCAGGTTTATAATAAGGTACATTTTTCTTTTCCCCCAAACTTGTTTTTTTTCATACATGGATAACATAAAGTAGCAGTAAGGAAAAAGCCAATAAATGCAAGAAAAAGAAGTAAAGGTGGGATAATCACATGAATCTCTAAGAGTAAGGTACAAGCTCAACAAGTAAAATCAGCAAGAAATGGTAATCAACTGTGGTACAAATTTCAATGTATAAAAGAAAATAAAAATAAGTACAGAAATGTGCCAGAGGCACTCAGTAGGGTCAACAAAACACAGAAATTAGCACTCACTATTGAGCCAAACAACAATGCAGTAGCCGCCCTGAAGAAACTAGTCATGTAGGGTTAGTAGGGACAATAACACAAACACATGATACAAGACATTTAACAATGCAAACCTCACCCCAGTCATTGACATGACCACCTTGACTCTACTTTGTTGGCAAGGAGGGTGTAAACACTCAATTACTTGTAAGCCCATCGCTGAGTGTAAACTCACGACAATGTCAGAGTTGCCTGGTCATTGTCAGTCTCCTCCATGTCGTCATCATTTGTTATAGAAATCACAAATGACAGTGCAGTCAAGAAGGTCACTGAGCATGGTGATCACCGCACCTTCTAAATGTATCAGTGCATGTATCAATATTGTCGTTGGTGCTGCTCCGCGTAGTGCTGTGTCTGCATGTGGACATCATGTATCTCCATACACATATCCTTCAAGCACCTGATCACCTCAACACTCGAAGGGTCTCAACGTGTAGTCTTGGGATGTCGTGAGAAAATCTCTCTTCTTTCTTGGGATGAGCTCTATGCAAGGCTAGCAGAAGAATATGTAGTCCTCAAGATTGGCCTCTGTGTCACTAACAAAACATCTCTATAGGCTTGGGGAAGGTCTGATGATTTTAAAATATTAAAGGTAACTGATTGTTCATGTTCTCGCAAAATTATCTTCTCAACTTGAACACCAATAATAAGTTTTCCAGTGTCTAAAAATAGTCTCCCGAAAATCACATGCATCCCAGTTTCAACTTTTAAATAAAAAATTACGAAATCAGCCAAAAGGTGAATCTTTCCATGATGATAGGCAAGCTTTCAACTATTCATAGAGGATGCACCACTGATAGATCTGCTAATTGAAGTGTCAAATTTGTAGGCTTAATTTCTCCTCCTCAAAGTTATTTGAAATTGTTCAAAGGCATGAGATTGACATTGAATCCTAGGTCACAAAGTGATTGTCCTTAAAATTTAGTTCATATGACATATGGAATGTTGAAATTACTAATTTTTAAGGGAACTGAGGTGCAAGTCTCTCAGTTGGGTTGGAATGATAGAGGAAACATTACCTAAAACAAGCTTCACAAGTGTATTATTACTCGAATAGCCAGCTTCCTTTTCTACTCCAGTTCAGGTTCTTACTACCTTGCACAACTCCAAATTTTGGTTGTTTGGATTTATCTCAGTGTTACTAGGCAGTGCACCTGGGGGTCTATTGTACATTGAGTTTGCCAGCTGTCCTAATTGAGTTTCCAAATTCTTAATGGCTATAACTTGGCTCTGTATAGTGTTCCCCATTTGAATGACTAGCTCCTCAATAAGTGATTCCTTTGGGCAGGTTAGGAGCTAGCTTGAATTCCTATTGGATATTGCTGATTTTGGGGTTGATTACCTTGGAATGATCATTTACCTACAGGGTTGTTCTGAGTGTCTCCCCATTGATGGTTGCTATTATTTTAAGGAAAATTTGGGTCGTTCCTCCAGCTTGGGTTTTAGGTGTTGGAATAGGGGTTATGATCATGATTTTCTATGGTATTTATATATTCTAAGTTTGACATACTAGGATCTACCAATGGTCCATACCATAATCCTTCATTGTTGGGAAGTCCTTGCATGGGATTCATCCACAAATTATCTAACTTCTTAGAGATAACAACTAATGGGGTCACTTGAATAGCTAACACATCAAATTCATGAAGGCTTGCTAGCTTCTGGGGTGTAACTCGTTCAACAAGACATTGGAAACTATTGGTGGTCATTTCCTCTATTAATTGGTAGGCTTCATCAAACGGTTTTAGACATAAATAATCCTCATGCAGTAACATCTATTATAGATCTCAGAGATCCCTTGTAAAAGGTTTGAATGATCATCCAATAAGATAGGGCATGATGTGGGCACATTTTAAGTAATTATTTGAACCTCTATCATGCCTGATAATTGGACTCTCCATCTATTTGAGTGAATGAGGTAATGTCAATCCTAAGTTTTGCAATTTTGATGGAGAAAAATAAGGATATGCACTTGGATTTTGTATTTTAGGTCATTTGCGTCGGATTTTCATCTTCTTTGTGTCAGTCTTCTGTGTCGGATTTTCATCTTCTTTGTGTCAGAGATTTTCACCGCAGTTAAATACGCGGAAGACATGTCATTTGCATTGGATATTTTATCCTTTTTTTGTGTTTGGTATAGTTTGACGTTTATCAATAAAGTTTTTGTGTCGCTTTATTCGACGCAAACTTCGTTGCAAGCCTGCTTTAAGTTTCATAGTTTTTAGAATACTATCTTGCGTTGAATTGTTGGCCTAAATCTGACGCAAAACTGTCGCAAGTAACAAAATTTAACTTTCGTCACTTTACTGCAACAAATCCAATCCTAATATTTGCATAGAAAAAATCCAACACAACTATCAGACGCTAATTTCAACGTCTCCAGTGGTGTATATAAATAAACAGTTTAGCAACTTACATATTGGAGATGAAGTGGCAATTCAGATGTTTCGACATGTTCATGACGATAATAAACACACTTTAGGTTTCGTGCTTTTGAAATCCTCAAGATGACATTAGAGTTATTTTGGTTGGTCGTTTGAGAATTCGGTGTTTGCTTAGATGTTCCCCACTCCAATTATATCTTTGAAGTCATGAGTTGGCCATCTTACTTAGCTAAATTATATTTTCTAGGGAAAAAAACTAAGAGGCTCACCCTTTTCTCTCTATTGTAATTGACCACACACCTCTCCTTAATATATAATATATAGAGAAATGCTGTTATACTTTATTGTAGATCATTTGTCTAATTGGCAAAGCATAAGGTTATTATAAAATGGCAACACTTTGTCTTTATATTTATTTTCTTATTCATTAATATATTCACACAATAAATAAATAATATAATATAATATTTGCCATACTGAAAATATTATTTTAAAGAAGCACTTGCATACACACCAATTATTATTTTAAACAAGCAATTACATACACACCAACTAAAACTTGTTATTTACAAATCAATCACGCTCTTTCTTCCAATTTTCAAGTTCTCGCTCAAATATCAAAATTCATCGCAAACCCCCCCAACAATATTTTTCATTTTTATCAAATTCTCAATATTTTGATCGTGACACGCAAAGTTCAAAAAATTCACTCACAGGTTTAATATGTAAATATCAATATTTTGAGTGGTATTTATATCATTACCCCTATTCTATAAATTTTTAATATACCAATTAAAAATAAATAAATAAATAAATACCTCTTGTGTGGTAGATATGTAAATGCCTAGAGAAAAATTTGTGTACGTAAGACGTACGTTGACGTAGCGCTGCATACATAATGAAGGTTATATTCACGTTATATCCACATTATATCCGCGTTATATCGTCTATAAATTTAATGTAATCTTCATATAACCTACATGAACTTACAAATAAGTTACGCGCTTCTGTTTTTACATATCTGTAGTTACATATAAGTTATATGAAAATTATATGAAAGTTACGGGAGATATAACCTAAATAAAATGTCAATGTAATGTGAATATAATCTTCATTATGTACGCAACACTGCGTACAAGACGTAGGCAACTTTTTTCCCTAAAAAAGAATGTAAACCAAAACATTAGCGTGAGGCTGTGGGAACATTCTAGTGTTCACTGTACCGCCAAACGACGAAATACTGCTGTGCTGCTGTGGATAACGCTCATCGTTGCTCTCTTGGATCAATGACAGCCACAAAATTGCTGCGAAAATCTGAAAATAAGTTGAAGAAAACTATGGTGCTGAGACCAATGAGATTTTGGTTTTTTATCGCAAGCTTTCTCAGCCACGACTTCTCGGCCAAGTGAAAATATAAGGCGGCCGAGTGACTGAGGTTGCTCTTAAAATCTTCTCCTTCATCCCATTTTTCTCATCTAACAAACCCTAGGGTGTACGAAGAAGAAGAAGGGTGTCAGGGAAAAAGCTACTGCTTGGAAAAATCGCGTTCAGGTTTGAGGTCTCCTGCTCTTGTTGATTTGCCTCTTGGTCTTTGATTTATATTCTCAAAGATTTGATTTTTTTTTCCTTCGCTTCTGAAACTTGCTGTTTTTATTTCTGAATCATTGATGGTGTTTGCATCATAATTTTATTTATTTATTTTTTATGGTTGAGAGAAACAAGCTTTTTTTTTCATTCGCTGGTTTATTGGATTCCATCTGATGAATTTTGTTTTACATAGCCTAAGTATTAATTTTCATTGCCTCAGTTTGGTTTTAGGTAAATATTGATAAGGTTGATTGGTGGATATTAAGATTGATAAATCTAATTTTGTAGAATAGATCTTATGTGTCATGTTTATTGATTAAATAAATGAGAAATTTCTGTTCTTTTTGCAGAATCAGCCCTATGGAGTGGAGTCATGTGAATGGAAGCAGTGATTGCATGGTTCCTGCTGCGCTAGATGGGCTTGGGTTCTATCGCCGTCAAGAGAAGATTGGTTTCATTGGGGGGTTAATGGATTTGAGATTAATGGATTTGCTAGGAAATACAATGATACATCTGAGGAAGAAAATCTGGCAAACTTGAACTCTGATATAAGAGTGCCACCTGTGAATCAATTTTATCTGTGTGATGGATCGAACAGTTCGAGTCCTTGTGAAGATGGTTTGGTGCATGACTTCTGTATGAGAACTTCTGATGACTTGTTCAGTGATTTACCTGATTTTGAGATTCAGACCAGCATGGAGAACATGGATGACATTCTCTTGTACAAGCATAAGTTTTGGAGTCATTATGAAATTTGTTATAATACTTGTAGGAATTATGTAGTTTTAAAATATTATTCTAAGTTGCTGATGCTAATTAAGATTTTAAAAATCTAATATTCATAATTTTTGCAGGGATTCTTTCTCATTGCTGGATCAAATGTATTTGGAGAATTCATATGAATCACTGCATATTACAGATTCCACACACCACCCATGGAATTCGAGAATCTCAGTACTTGAACATTCAGAGACTCTTATGAAGGATTTGTCAAGAAGAAAAGATGCAATGAATGAGGTAGGACATGGCTTTCCACTGTGTATGAATGATTATGTTAGCATTAATTATGCATATTCCAGTATCATCTACAATGACATTGTAAAGCATCACTAGCTTTGGATATGTGTTGGATAATTTTCTTAGCTTGCTAATAGAATTTTGGTATATAGTGAGTTTTCAGATAATTTAATTTTTGTAAGCCTGTTTTCTGTTAATTTTCTGCTCATGACTCTTGTGTTTACCATGTACTATCCTCTCATGTCGTCTTGAGTGGCACAATTATTGCCTTTTCCTTCTGATTTTCTTTCAACTATTATTGATCTCATTTGGATAAAGTATGATGTATGATAGAGACAGAGAAGTGAGCTTTGAAGTAGAAAGATTGAAATGGGGCATCTTTTATGGTGTATGGAGGTTGTGGTTAAGGAGATTATTGGAGAAGTTTTGGGGTGAAGGAGGCTTGTGAAAGTTTCCTTCCAATCATGAATAACAATTTCCAATAGGGTTAGGCTAGTTTGGTTTTTGTTTGAGAGAGAAGCTTTTTGTGTGCGGGTTTGGCTATGATAAGCTTATGATTTGATGAGATGGTGGGAATAAGGAGATAAGGTTGTAAGAGGTGGGAGTAATATGGTGTGTAAAGATGGTGAAAAAAAGGAAAGATGTAGATTGTTTGAGAGAGCTTACAAAGAGGGAGAATTCCATTGCAAGCAGTGATGAAATTGAAAAGGGTAAATTCTAGGACACGAGGGAGGATGTAAACGAAAATAAAACAGCAAAACACTCAGTAAAATACTTCATAACTCTTTATGCAGGAATCTTGATGAATTATATAACTTACATTCAGTCATCTTGACTCTTAAAATTCTATTCTTGCATGTTGGTTCTTTAACTTTTTGTATATCTTGCCTTTTGAACTTCTATTCATGCATCTTGATTTGACCCTCGAACAATGGTAAAAAAATTGATTTGAACCTGAGTTAGCTTGACGATGCACCTTCCATGGACGTACATTACATGATGATCTAAGTTGGATAACTTTGAATTTTTTATTAGAACTAAGCTTGCATGGCAAACTTTGCATGTCCTATTGTGAATTTTCTTACCACTACTACACCTCCTCTTCAAAATATTAAAAGTTATAATACAAAATAATGCAAATAGAATATGATGATATAATATTTATAATATATTATACTCTGATAATGATAATAAACTTATGGAGGATACCATCCATTTAGACACATTGTTGCCTTTCATTAATGCCAAATTTAGAGAACCTAAGGCATAAAGAAAGTGGTTCTGAAATGCTCTTAAAAATGCAAAATTTTAATTTTATTGTTTATCCATTTTTTTTTTCACACACAAACCCAAACACACCAAACCGCAAATGCAAGGCCTTGAACCCATGAACTCTTAGTTGAAAGACAAAACTCTCAGCCGCTAAACCAAGGTAGCTTGCATATTCTATTGTTTATCCATTATCATTATTTACGCTAAAAAATTGGTGACATGTTTGAAATTTCAGTTGACTCATTTTGTGTAAAGATAAATCGGATAGTCCCATTCAGCTAGGTTCTGATATAAACCAAATTTGAGAAATTGTTGACTTATTTCATTTACTTTAGAAAGTGAAAACATAGTTAAGTCCATAATATCTATCACATCTTTTGGATTTCTACACAGTTCACTAAACAATTACTCATCATTCATCTACAAAATATTTATGTCCTGCAAGCAATGGATTCCAATTGTTGACTCCTATATCAGCAATGGATGAAACTCAAGTGTGTTTGCTGGTAAAATCATGGAAATATAGGGAATGTTGATAGTTTAAAGTCTTTCAAAGGTCTTATCAAATGGTTTGAGTATTACATGTAGTCAAGAATTGGTCATTAAAAAGCCATACTTTTGATTTTAGTAAACAGAAATTGATTTTTTTTTATTATTTTTTGGAGAAATTAAGTTTGTTGCTCATGACATAGGTTATCTTTTACTGTTAATTGAACTTGCTTGAGTTTACGATTTAGTTGCTTATGGATAAGATTTTGTTCTGCACATTGTCTGAATACAAAAGTGTTATGAAACTATCTGGTTGATTTTACGTAGTAAACATGTTTTGGAAAGTGTTGATTTTGTTTGCAATCATTTATATGTGAAGTTGATGCCTTTACATTTGAGATATTTATAGAGTTTGAGGGGTTGTTTGGTTTGCTAAAAATGAAGTACAACGTAAAACATTTGCAAAGTATTATTATAACAATGTATTTGAAATACTTTATGATTGTTTGGTTAACTGTAAAATAAACGCAGAACATTATATATATTTTTGTTTGATTTGAATTAGATTGAAAATAATTTAATAATTTTTTTGGGCGGCGAGCGGTAGTCGTTAAAAAAGATGAATAGAAGAAGAGAAAATGTATATAGAAGATGAGAACAAACAGAAATATACAAATTTTTGCTTGCTAATTTTAATTGTTTTCTTTAGTTAGCTCTTTCATGTATTATTTGAATATTAAATTGATGGTGTTAGAATTAAAATTATAATAACAGTGAATTGATTTTCACCGTCCGATCGTTTGTTCCCGTCTTGATTAATTCCAAGTCCCAGACTGAGTCATGATAACAACCCTCTTAGGCAGAACAAACGTGGGAGACGGAAAATCCCACAGTATATTTTTTGTAGCAAGAAAATTTCCACTCGGAGCTCCAAACTTGGGATCTATCCAGCACACAGAGACCGACAGACCTTCTGAGACCCTATTTTTCATTATTTTTAATTATAATTAGGATTAATTTGCTTTGTGACTATTTACTTGTTTTGTTGGTGAACTGATTAAACACTTTTGTATTTGGTTTATGTTATTTGTAGACTTTTGTCCCCGTGTTCTCCGATTTGGAGAGTTGTAGCCTATTTTGTCTTGTATCTTGAAAAAAATAGGTGACCGATCCTCCCCTTCATCTCTCTACCTCGCTGTTTCGTTGTCTACCCCGCTGTTTTCAGATTGGACAGCCGTCAAACGGTTTCAACTTCTTCCAAACTGCACCGATTTCACATATTCTATTTCTTTTGCCATTTTACAACAACTAAATCTGATTCTACAACACCTTCTAGGAATCCCAAAAGAGTTTCACATAGCATTCCAAACTGCACCGAAGTAGGGAGATGATGGATCCTCCCCGTCATCTCCCTACCTCACTAGGATCCGTCATCTCCCTACCTCATTGTTTCGTTGTCTACCCCCCTTTTTCAGATTGGACAACCGTTAAAGGGCTTGAACCTCTTCCAAACTGCGCCGATTTCACATATTCTATTTCTCTTGACATTTTACAACAACTAAATCTGATCCTACAACACCTTCTAGGAATCCTAAAACAGTGTCACATAGCATTCTAGGTGAGCTACACAAAAATCTTGATGAATAGGTGATCGGGTAAACATATATCTGGTTCTCGCTTCCAATGCATACTTATGTCAGAATTTTTTTTTTAAAATTTGAAGAGAGAGCATTATCTACAAAAATAAAATAAAATTTTTTTTTTTAATTTGAAGAGAGAGCATTATCTACAAAAATAAAATCACAAATCCCAAAAAACGAAAACACCAGCTTAATGAGGTTCAGCAAAATTTTCCTAAGAAACTTGTGCATCACAGAGCAGTTAACAAAAACTTCAAGTTAATACTTTCAGCAAGTATATAACATCAAAAAAATAACTCAAAATACAATAATGTATCCGCCATTGAAATAAACAAAGAATAACATGAACAAAGAAAATATAAGGACAATCTCATCTGCCCAAAACATAGGCAAGTGTCCTACTATAGCAAGTGAAAAAGACGACAGAACTTACCAATTCCAATATAAAGTGTGAATCTTGAGAATAAAGCTCCTGAGAAAGGCATTGAAGGGCTCTTCCTAGACGAGCATGCTGTTTCTTCAACAAGTTTCTTTCAGCAGTTCCAAGAGCTGAATTTAAGCCAAATTCTTCGCGCCTAATTGTTTCGATAAAGACAGCTGCATCCTGCATTCTAAAGTCGCCAGAACTTGCAGAGCCATGGATCACTTGCGGTTTATCACATGACATTTCAGTACAACATTTATCTAAACCACAAACAGAATCCTTATGGGAAGCTGTCACTTCAGTACGGACCTCATGGCGGTCTTCAATTTCACCATCTTCAGAATAAGTATTTCTGGGGATGCCTGGCAAATTTTTGTTGTAACTAGTAGAACATTGGTTGAATAATGTGCTCTGAGTACCAGATGGTTCAAACGTGCTAACAGTAGCTGCTGCACTATATTGTTTGTAGTCTTCAATCCACTCCACAATCCCGAGAGAAAATCCAATTTCATGAAGCATGAAGCATTCTTCGACCCCTCTACATTCTTTTAAGATGATCGCAGCAGCATCTCTAGTGAAAAATTGAAACGCAGAAATTAAAACATCAGCAGTAAAACTGTGGAATTCTGAAGGTAGATACCCCAGACAATCAAGGATGAATAATGATACAATCGAATGTGCCCCATTTGTACTTCCTGTGGCTGTTCTACAGCCATCAAAAGAGCTGTTCGTACTTTGTCCTTGAACAGAGCCTTTACGTAAAAATAAGGTTGCATGAGCATTCACTTGCAAATCACCCATGCAACATTTAATAATGGCATCAATTCCGCACTGGGCATAGCATCTTAGTAGTGATACTGGTATACTTTTAGATCCTCCGTACACATGAAACAAAGATAACAACTGCACTGCTGTATGGAATGGTGAAGCTTGAGCCAAAGCTTCCAAAAATCCATCAATTGTGGCGGAATGATCGATACGAATAATCCTTGAATCAGTCGTCACGATACATGATAATTCCTTAATGAAACCCAAATCTAGTAGCCAGTCCAACAGAGGCCCAAGTGAGGGCCCAAAAACAAAATCCCAGTGTGACCACAGCTTTAAATCAGATAACATTGGTGCTCTGAGCAAGCATTTGATTGCATCTTCGGTGGAAACAGATCCAATAATGCCAGTAAATTCACCCCTGCCAAGGGACTTACCAGGCAGTTCTCTAGAAACATTTTCTTCAAGCGATAGTGAACTTTTACCACAGCAATCACCAAGTAAGCTCACCGAGAATGTAACGGAAACGGAAACATCAGGAAGCCTTTGACTATGAATAAGATTTAAACTTTCAATACAGCCACTTTTTGTCATATGTAAAGCAACTACTGGAAATTGTTTCCTCAGAATCATGGAAATATGTTCATCAGTTAGCTTACTACTCTTGCTGAAGTTTCTTGCAGCTTGAGAGAGTACCACTAAGAATTGTTGTTGAGACATGAAAATCTCGATGGAATGCTGATAACCAAAGATTCTATTCAATAGATCATTAACTTCACTCGGAAAAGCAGATGCCTGTTTCTCTAGAAAATCAAAGAAATTTCCATGACCAAGGCATTCAAATCTTTCCACCAAAAACTGCCGCTTCAACCAATCCTCACAATCACGAAGTATAAGTTGTTTTTCCAGAGACGGATCTTTTCTTCTAGAATTAGTGTCAATTTTGAAGTAGCAGCCAACCTGCTTAACAATATCCCCAAGAGTAACATCTGGAATGAAAAAAAGTAGCTCAGAAAACTAAAGTTAAATTATGTAAAATTCTGAAGAGGTACTCATAATATAAATGATAGTAATCTACAAGTAGAATTTTTTTGTAAGAAAATACCATAGGAAGACATTTAGAAATGAAAAGAAACGTCAAGTCTCCTTCCCCTCTCCTCACGAAATTTCCTTTCCCTTAAATCCATCAACACTTTACAATCGACTTTATATATATTTTTACAATCAAAATTTTATACAGAACATCTAACCCTTCCAAATTGATAGTTGATATCAACGTTTACCTAAACAACCGTACCCTAGAGGATAACTGCATTGTGGAAGCTACTATTAGGAGTTGATGAGAAACAGCTTTGTTAATGCCTAAAATACAATGTTAACTGTCATAAGATTAAAGTAAATACTTGTATGTACTTTCATGGAGTTTCTTACCATAGTAACAACATTTTCATAAGGGAAACAGAGCACTGATGCATGATGATACAAATGTAAAATTTTATGCTCATCGGACATGCAGATAGAGTATATTGATGCTGCTCTGGCTGTTTTATTTTTCATCTAGTTTATTTCGTTTAAGAGAACGAGTGTTCTCAAAAATTTTGATACCCTTGACTAATTTGCTAATAATTTGATTAAGTAGATCAATTTGATTTACAGTTGGAAGAAGGGTTGTCTCAAAATTAATTGGATCCGGTAGTTCAGCTATTTTTTATTCGATGCTATCCGCATCAAGGATTCTTTGTTTCTGTCCGAGAAATAATTTGATATTGTAGCTAGATTGGTGCTTCATTGACTGCTGCTGATTTTTTCCCCTATTATAGGGATACATGACCTTTTATTTGGCATTGATTATGGCCAGTCTTGGAGTCCGTTCCCTATAGATTGATGTTGTTGAAGATGTAACACCCGAATTTTGAGGATCATGTAAAATTTTTAACAAATTTTAAAAGTATCCCCAAAAAATTGCATCCTCATAATTCAAACAAATTATTTTTAAAAAATTTTATGCATGAAATTGATCAATTCCATATAAAACGCCATGCATGAATCGTTAACAGATTGAGAGATATAAAACATTGAAGTTATAAATATGATTAAATTAATTAAACTTTGATTATCCCTAATCCTAACATGAATCCCGCAGCTCCACCGTTCTCAACCGACTTATATTTAGTTCAATTGGGAGTCTCCTGAGCTTCGAGTTCCTTCCCCTCTCCTCACGAAATTTCCTTTCCCTTATCTTGATTTCCTTCCTTCACCCTCTCCTTATTCGGTGTCGCTGCCAGGAGCATCCCGCAAAATCCCACAAAGAATCTCGATCCTGCAAGCGAGTCAGGCGGCACCAAGGCTCCAAAGTTTCACATGTCCCCTTTATATTTCCATTTATCGTTCTCATCTTTTATACATATTTGATCATCTTCTCTTCATCTTATTCCACAGTTTAAAAAAAAAAAAATGAAGACAACATAATGAGTTATTTAAAGATAACACAGGAGTAACGACATTTCTAAACTACAGTAATCCGGGGAAAAGAATTTAGTATACATGCGAGTCTACAATAAAAAAATGAAGACAGCATAATGAGTTATTTAAAGATAACATAGGAGTAACGACACTTCTAAACTACAGTAATCCAGGGAAAAGAATTTAGTATACATGCGAGTCTACAATAAATTTTATAATATGCTGATCTTTCTATTTTTATAATAATACATGTATTAATGACTTTTTTTAAAAATAAACATATTCAATCTTCTATAAAAATTTACTTTAACTTTGCTTTTATTGTATATTTTACATACACATTTGTCTGTGTGAGGATCTCCATTAACTCTTCTATACATATTTGATCATCTTCTCTTCATCTTATTCCACAGTTAAAAAAAAAATGAAGACAACATACTGAGTTATTTAAATATAACCCAGGAGTGACGACACTTCTAAACTACAGTAATCCAGGGAAAAGAATTTAGTATACATGCGAGTCTACAATAAATTTTATAATATGCTGATCTTTCTATTTTTATAAGCAATCTGATATAAGCTAATGCATGTATCAATGACTTTTTTTTAAATGAACATATTCAATCTTCTATAAAAATTTACTTTAACTTTACTATTATTTTATACTTCACATACACATATGCATGTGTGAGGATCTCCATTAACAAATCTAATACACTCTTGGTTAATATTGCTCTATCGGCTCCCGTCGGTACAATGGTTAATGATCCACACATCTAATTATTATAAAAGAAATCACTAATAAGGTTATTTGTGATGTGTGCAAAGATAAGTTGAAAAAAGGTTTTCATATCTTCTTTGATTGTAGCTATACCTCTAATATTTGGAGAATGCTCTGCAAGATTTTCTCCTTTTTTTATCACTATTGATAACTTGGACCCAAGTTATCAATTCATGGAGGCACATATATATTACAAGAAGGTTTTCAAAAAGCTTTGGGACAGTTTCTTCTTTGCTTCCATTAGTATCATCTGGAATAAAAGAATTGTAATTGTTTTTCAAGCAAGAAGAAAGCACAAAATTCCTTTAGTTTGACATTATCAATCTTACTTAAATAATTATTTTTTTTTATTAAACAAAATCCTAAAGAATAATCACTTTCCAACAACTATTGAGCACAATTGTTTCTCCTTTTCCTCTTTAAACTAATTTGCAACCTGTCTTATTTATTCCGAATAGTAAGTTCAGCTTGCCAAAAATTTAAGAAAAAAAAATCATGAACTCACTCTTATCAGCATTCTCGACACATATCTCATCATCGGACATGGGATCACTGTCTGATGATTCATTTTTGGACAGCTCCAAATGTGAGGAAGAGGTTTGATAAATAGATGAATGCTTAGGAGATGCATCAAGAACATCCAAGCTTTCGCCTTGGAGAACTCTTACCTGCATATTTCATATTAAATGACTTGAAAGGCATGTGCGCTAATTCAGCAATGAAAGAGAATATACCCCATGCTAGACATAATGAATCAAATGCTTTATATGCAAAATTAAAAAAGAAATTTACAGCATATTGTGAAGTCGCTAAAATTCAACTGGATGCAAAATATTGCCACAATTGTAAAATGCAAAAAATGTTGATCTGGTAAAGGTATATATACTAGAAGCTCTAATAATATGCTTAAAAGCATAAGTCTAGAAACTCTCTCATAGATGATGCACAGCTGATAACATAAAAATTTATAAGATGGATGATGTGAGTTTGCGATAAATAAACTAAGTAAACACTACCAACTGAGATATAAACTACAAAAATATGACATAAATATGATCAATGAAAAAAGCAAAACTAATAATAAATATTACATCATAATAACTATAAAAAAGTACAAAATATAAAATTATTAAATATAATAATTGTATTTAGAGCTAATATGGATATTATAAACATTTTCTTTTTAAAAAAGTCAGATAATAAATTTCTCATAGCTATCATACACAGAGAAAGCTAACACGAATAGATCTCTAGATTCAAGGGCGAGTCAACAAGGTTTATGCAGAAATAAATTTCAAAAATAGATTTTAAGTCTACGTAAATTATGAACATGATCTCCTGTAAATAAACATGCAGAGTTGACAAAGTTCAAGAAATAAAATTCAATAGTATCCAATGCTTATCGTGTTAAAACTCAATCTCAATCAGAGGTATTCTCAACTATCAAAATAAACCTAAATCCTGATATAAATTACTTTGAGCACGAATACAAAAAGTCAAAATATTACAATTTTAAAACTATTCCAGTGAAATTTATCACTCCCAAGCTTAAACCAATAATTCATCTACCTTTCACACAATTTCTTAAGAGTAACAAATTTAAAATTAAGCTAAGCTCATAAAAAGCTAATATTATATCAAGATTACCCTTATTATTGTAGAAATTATATTAGAAAATAATTTATTCTGGTTAGAAGTTATGATGATTAGATTTATTTTCTTAGATTGGATTTATTTCCTTTCCTATTTCAAGTTTTCATATTTTATGTCATTTCCTTTATCTCCAAGTAATTATTATGAATTGATTAATTGAAGATATAGGAGTTATATTTTTCATTTCATGTTATTTCAGAGAGAGGAAGTGAGAGTAAGGGCCCGTTTGGGGCAGCTTATAAATAATCGCCTCACCGTTTTGAAAACACGTTTCGACAGCTTACCCGAAAACGCGGTTGGGTTTTTACACTAAACGCAGGTCTCGGGTCGAACCCTGCGAGCCGTGTTTTAGGATAAGCACAAGCTGCCCCAAACGGATCCTAAGTTAAAGTGTGAAGAAGAGGAGGTGTGCCCTAGCCAATTGAATAGGAAGAAGGAAGAACCGACACGACTTATTTGTTGTTGCGAGAGGAGGAAGCCTCGTGCCTAACCAATCGAAGAAAAAGAGAAAGGTTTGTCGCGTGAAGGCGTCGACGTTGTGAGTAAAGAGTGCGAAGGACAAGAAGAGGCATGGCGTCGAAACCAAAAAAGACGGCTTGCGGGAGTAGCTTCGACGACGTCTATGCGAGAGTAGTGAGGGACCGAGCTTTTAGTGCTCCTCATTTGTGGCTTCAAGCAAGAGAGGAGTAGGAAGTTCGGTTGCAGAAAGAGTTGCACGTGCTTAACCAATCGAAGGAAGAGGCGTCAAGCATCTGGTGCAAAGGAAAGGAGGCGAGTCGAAAGTCGCGTACAAAGGAACATGAGGAAGCAGAAAGTACTCGTGCGTAACTAGAGCATTTGACCGACGCATAAAGGTGAGTTTAATACTCTTTTAATTAATATATTTAATATATAATAAGAATTATATATATATAAATGTAAGATTGTCATAGTCGGGGATCCTCCTCCCTCCAATTTCTGTACCTTTTTTTTAATTAACGCGTAGGGAGCCACCGTTGCTCTTTCCAAAAAAAAAAAAAGAAAGAAAAAAATAATAAAGAAAATTAAAAACACAAAAGTAGATGGTATATAAAAGATCAACCAGGTCAACCCACTTCAGTTTTGCCTCTGCCTTTAGTTCTTGGAAATGAACTAGCTAACAGATTGGTGAGGTGTTTACCATTGCCCGAAGTAACCAGAGTATCATCCATTAGATTCCTTAGATCAAGTAGATCTCCATTCTTCTTCCTCCTGGAAGTGTAGACCTGTCATTCTTCATCCGAAGATTATTGCTCATTCGGATGAGGTGATAGTGCTGCAGTATAAAAATTGTCAACGGTTGTGCCAACAAGTGTATGTGAGGTAAGAGTTGTAGCCTCTACCCCCAATACTTCCTGAAGGTGGGAAGCTGCAAGGTTCTCCTGATTATCAGTCCGCATAGGTAGGAGTTTTTCATTGTTGTTTTCAATAGGGTTTGAAAGTGTAGCTTGCCCAGCATGGGCCATCCAGCTTCTCATCGATCGCAGAAACAGTATTTTCAGGGGATGGTCCACAGGGACAATAGAATCAGACACAAAATCCTGTCCTGTGGTAGTTTTCTCTCCAGGTGGAACAGATATATCCTCAGATTAGATATATCCTTAGGTTCATCTTTATTCACTTGATCTTTATTTTTCAAATTAGGATGAAGCTTATGGCATTTATCAAGGGTATGCCCAAACATCTTACAAATGAGAATAAAAAGTATGTCTATACTCCATGAAGATTTGTTATCAATATCCATTATGCGTTGTGCCCAACCAAACTTCAATAATATTAGGCAAAGTAATATCTCTTTCCAGAAGTATTCTGGCCACAAAAGAACTGGTAAGATTGAAAGTAGGTAAATCTAGCTTCATAGGGTCCCCAAATATGACAACAATGGAGTAAAGAACCTGATGATGAAAAAAGTATAGCTTGAGACCAAGTAGACTAAATCATACCGATACCGTAGGAGGCTCCTGATTGGGGTCAAAATCAGGTGACCACTTTAGTAGCTTCATAAGTTTACCAACAATGTTACAATATTTTTTGGAGAAAATATGAGTGTAGTCATCAAGCACGGTTAACTGAATCAATAAATGTCTCTAATCCATGAGCTCACTTTCCACTGTCCTATTAATTTGAGGTCATAAAAACTTTTCCTGATAATTTCCATAGGTGGGTGTCCCCACTGAAATTTCCCAATAAGGGCAAATTTGACTTTGTTACTGAGCGTTGAAATTTCTAACGTGAAGAAAAAGAGTGTTGTCTTTCCACTTTTTCTACTTGCATTCTTAATAAAGAGGCAGTTACATGTACCATCACGATGCTCCTTATACTTGAAGGGAAGACAACCGTCGTTCCCCCTGAAGATTACCCACCATGTGGGCAAAGAAAGTTTTGTCAGGTTCAATCGAAGTAGGAAGCTCCATCACAATAAAGAGAAGCCATGCAAGTCGGGCAGAGGGCAAAAAAGACGAGTCAAAGAGCTCGAGCTAAGTTGCGCAGACAGAAATCGCAGAATCGCAGCTCGGCAGAAATGAAACCGCAACTCGATCCGCATAGAAAAGAACAGCAGAAGCTGGAAGGCGCGAAGGAGGAGACGACGAAGCCGCAGAAGCAGATGTCGAAGCCCTTCGTCATTTGGTGCAAAAAAGAAGACGACGATTGCAAGGTAGCTTCCTTCTTCGTCGTCGTCGTGTGCGGGAACTGCGTCGTCGAGAAGGAATCAATACAGGGTTTCACCATCGGCCAAAACCCTAGCAGAGCAGATCGCCATATGTGTGTGTGTGTGTGTGTGTGTGTCTATATATATATATATAATTATTTATTTAGTGTTAATATTATATTTAATTGTAAGGAATATTTAGCTCGTATTCCATGGGTGAATCACTTTGAAAGAAAAAAGATATATGTCAATTAATGTCAAAGTTTGTTTTATTTTAGAATGTATAATTAATAAAAATATTAATTTATAACATCAGTTAAGATTAAAGAACATTTGAACCTAAGATTAGAGATGCGAAGTATGTAAGACGAGCAAGCTAGGTTAAGTAGAGTAATTATATTTCTTAATTTCAGTAATGTTCATCATTTTAATAAATGTTTGACTTCATCTATGATCTATTTCAGTGATATGTAGATTATAGTAGATTATTCATATTGTCAGGTAGGAAAATATACATGTTAAATAGTTGCACAATGAAATTAAATCACCTATAATTTTTAATATTATTAGTCATGATATATGCATGTTAAATATTGTTGTCTTAATAATTGCATAATGATTTAGTTTATGAAGATATCAGATTACTAAATGATCTATATATTAAAATAAAGATGTATATATTAACACATTACATGACTAGATATATATGTTAGATGGTGATTTGACCTTTAGAACTAGAGTAAGGGTGCATCTTTTAGATTATTATATGAACTTAGATTTTAATAGACCTACATGATTTTTAGTAAATAAATGCAAGTCTCATATGAAAGTAATGTATGCTTTGAAGTATGAAACGAAAATATGGTATACATGAATGTTTGTATGTGCATGTTTAGTAGGAGTTCACCCCTAAAGGTACAGGCAGAGGACACCAATGTACACGCGTGCGTAAATGTTTTTCTACCACCCGACAATTGTGATAGTTAGTTCACAAACTGTTGTACCAACATGATAATATCGACCATGGGCGAGTAGACAGGGTTTGCTACCCCAGACAATTGTGATGTATAGATCACTAATCGCTATGCCGACAGGATAATATCAGTCAAGGGCAGGTAAGGGTCATTCCACCATAGACAATTATGATGTTTACATCACTGATCACTGTGTCGACAAGAGCCGATGGGGCAATATTGGTCAAGGGTATGTTAGATTGTAGCAGAAAGATATGTATGTAAAAAATATACAGTAGAAGTAAATGCATATAGAAATTTTAAGTATTTTCATTCAAAAAATGTCATTGAGGAATGCATTAATATATTAAAAGAGTTCAAATGAAAGATTAGC